TTGAGAATGTTCCTTTTTCTCTTTGGTTGTAATCTTAAGTATACAGATTTGAAGAAATATCCTGCAGGCATCTGTAGACAGGAGGTTTACTTTGCTGAGTCTGGAAAATGCAGGACTCCGCTTTAAGTAAGACTTTGAAAGAATATTGATCTTCAGTAGATTATGTTTATAAGTCATGCATAAGCTAATATCACATTAATCATACCTGTGTATGTTTCCAATATCCTGCATACATACGTTTTCAGGAAATATGTCGTACACGGCATATGATAATAAATGAGATTACAGAACATATTGGATCATATACATCTGGTGTTCAATCTACTCTGGAAACATTTGGTCATTAATCTGATAACCAAATTACATTGATGATTCCCATCAAGATTACTTTGGAAAAGGTTTTGTCATTATGAAAATGGATTAAGCACTGAAAATAAATCAAGAATGGAGAAATGGGAGAAACTTGGTTCCAAGTTGGATGTTTGCTTATTGGCACGCAGTGGCGAAATATCTAACGGCAATAGTAACTTTCAATAGCTAGTCCTGGTTTCTTACTGGATGGCCCATCTCTTTCACCAGTTTCTAGTGATTCCAGGACTTTTCTAAAAGCCAAGAATGTCTGCGATCTGGGAAGAACGCTTATTTTCAGCAATTTAAATTCTTCGACCAAAGTGACTCAGATCAGGAAGCCTACCTACCCAGGTACTTGATAAGTTGTTGATCCAGGCTTTTAGAACTCCAAGGTGTCACTCCAAATACGATGGGATGAGTGCAGTTTTGTCCACCAGGCGGGTTACAGCCCATTGTTCACAGTTCTATACAATATTGAATTGGTTGAGCATATATCCATCTGGACCAAAGCTTTACTAGCATGAACTCTAGCTCCCAAGCTGAGGGGACGCAAGAAGACAGGAGAACCTTTTAAATAAAAAGTAAGCCTGAGAAAATATAAAGTATAGGAATACAATAGACAGAAAGGAATCAGGAGGCAGAAGATGATTTTGAAACCCTATTTTGATTTGGTTCTGAAGAGAAGTTTAATTAAAATTGGAATGCTGAATTCAGTTCCCAGATTGCAGCTATACTCTGGAACATTTGGTGATTTGTCAGCCTAATGGTATTTCTGAGCTGAGATCCTTTCTCACAGAAGTGACTTATTCTGACCATAGGACTTCCTGAGGCTGAAGCACAATTGAAGGGTCAATGTTTTCTAAGCTTTGATGTTTAATGGTTTGTTGCCTTGTGGATGATAGGTCAGTGTGTGCCCACTTGTGTGCAAGTTCAGAATACATGACCTGATCCTGATTCTTATTTCATTCTGTTCCAGGTTTGAAAGCCTGGTCTCCTGAATTACCAGAGAGAGAGGCAAATTTCCAATTCGTATTGTGGGAGCCCCAGATTGGGCATGATTTCAGAAAATGTCAACACACAGTTTCAGGCAAGGGAATTTTCAACCTGGTCAGTGAAGTATCAGCAGGCATCGGTCTGATCTTAATTGGTAAACTGGAGGAGGGATAGCAGTGTTGCTTAATTCATGTCCCCACAACACACTGTCAATGTGAATCAGTTACAAGCCCATTCCGTCTGTTTGTCCATCTGGATACATATGGGCTAATTTCTACTGCAATCCTATTTGAAAAGGTGAAGAACTGAGTTAGTATCCTGTCAGTTGCCTCTAGGATCTGATTCCAGGTGACACAGAACAACACTGCAAGCGTAAACAGCCATTACAAAAGAAGTTTCAGCAGCCCCATCCCAGTGGGTCCGTGACACAAAACTGCCACTTTATTAATACCAATCAGAACTAAATCTGGAGGTCTCATCAAAAAGGCAAGAAGGGAACACCATTGTGAGCAGAAGGAACTACTCCATTGGTTCCCTGGCCTTTGAGGTAGATCAGGTGTGCATTGCTGTCCAACCAGCAGTGCTGCCTGCAACTCACCTGAAAGCATTGGGCCCTGGTGGTGGCCAATTGCAACACCAAAATATTCAATTTGCTGACACTAACATCCCTCAGCTTGGGAAGCACAAATTTTGCCAAAAGCGAGGACAAGATTGCGTTGGCCTATTGTAAATGATTACATCGCAATAATCACAATGATTAATTTGAAGTAGTAAGCATGTGGTTTGTATGATTATGATGTATCTTTCATGGTTCATGCCAAGTGATTGATGTGTTGTTCTCATAAAACCACATGAACGTAACCATTTCATGCAATGTAAAATTTTATGTATCTATCATTTTTGTGTTTGTATGACATAAGTGATGTACTGTGTAATATGTATGTAGCATTATATGAATATCATATTTCTCATTTATACTGGATTTTTTATAATCTTTGTATTTTTGGATGGAAGAGTATTTTATTAAAGTATCAAAAATGGTGTGTTAATTACTGAAATATTTGTATTGTCTGACTATGGAATGCTGTAGCCTGCTAAGCTGAATGATTTATGTTTTGAGGTGAAATATCCACACTTATGATTACATTACTAATTTCATCAAGCACATGGCTTATAATGCTATTTGGAACATTGTTCCCAGTGACTGTGGATATGTTATGTTGAACGGTAAACGTTGGAAATCCTGGAAGAAAAGTAGACCGTTCATTGGAAATACATTGTAAAGCTTGTAAATACCATTAATGCAGATCGATTACGATGGATTTTTTGCTAGGACATGTCAAAGCAAAGAAAGGCTGGGAGATTGATAGATAACAGCAAGTGTTCAGTGGCAAAATCTAATGGGTTCAATAACTCATTAGCCTTTATAACCTGTGTTGGCAAACCTGTAGCCACTTCTTTGTCAAAGCAATTTGCATTCTTAAACTTGTGCAGAGCTGAGTGGAGATGGATTTTAATGTGAGCCAGTGAACACAATTAGCCCAACCAGTAATGTCAGACTTTTTGCAAGTTAGGATACCAACAGCACAGCTTTGACAAAGTCAGCTACCAACCGTTGTGTATATTATATCCTTATTACATGGATATAGAAGACATGAATTTTGATCACTTCCTTAAATCAGTTCTGACCCAAGATCTAAATCTCTCGACTACATTTGCAGGTATTCACAAGTCTACAGTGTATTTTCATTTTGTTCCATTCTTAATTTTGGAATCTGAGTATTCAGTGGTTTCTGTACATCTCTGCAGTTCTGTGTTCTGAACTGTGAGGAACTGAGATTTCTGAAGTCATTCTGCAGGTGAGCGAGTGTCATCTATCTGAAACAAAATGATGCCATCACCATCCACTTTCACAATGACTTCAGTCAGTGCATGGCAAGCCCAGGGTTCCCTCAATGCGGGAAGGCAATTGCTTAGTGGTATTATCGCTGGACTGTTAATCCAGAGACCCGGATAACGTTCTGGGGACCTGGGCTGGAATCCCGCCATGGCAGATGGTGGATTTTGAATTCAATAAATAGCTGAAACTAAGAATTTAACAATGACCAGGAATCCACTGCTGATTATCAGGAAAAATCCATCTGCTTTGCTAATGCCCTTTAGGGAAGGAAACTGCCATCCTTACCTGGTCTGGCCTGCATGTGACTCCAGACCCACAGCAATGTGGTTAACTTTTAACTGCCCTCTGGGCAATTAGGGTTGGGCAATAAATGCTGCCTAGCCGGCATCGTGCCCTCATCCTGTGAATGAATAAAGGAATGACTTCCTACTCCTTATGATGTAGATCTCTTAATATCTATTTCTGCCAGTAATACAAATTGAATGGACTGCACTTCTGAATTGAATTGATCTCCTTTCCCTTCCCAATGGACAGGATTGGTTGTCAACTTGTGTGGTCCAGTACCCTTGGCTGAATCGGTGCCTTCAGGAGAGCTGGGCAAAAAGGAAATTAGGTGAAAAAGTCTAATAAGGAGCAGTGAGAACAGAAAAAAAGAAAAGTAGAGAAAATCAGAAATATAGGGACCCTGAAATCAATCTGTTTAGAGGAACTATGTTATAATAGCAGGTGATGGAATGCCATTTGATTGTGTCCAATGTTTCTTACGCTGTTTCTTTTCAATACCAATCAATATAAATCAGAGAAACATAAAGATGAGAATAAAAATGAATAGTGAAATCTGCTCTGTCTGCTCTGCTTGTCTTTGCTTCCAGATTTATGAGTCAGTCACTCTTGTGCCTCTCCTAGTGGTCAAATGAGGAGTGGTATTTTCAAACCCTTACTATGTTTATTAAGAATGCAAGGTGTGGCGTGAGTATCCATAGTAAGTTGGGAGAGAGCATTTATCAAATGATGCTGCGTTATAAATTAGAATTAGGTTTTATTGTCACGTAGTCAAGTACAGGGATACATGAGTACAGCGAGCAGTGTACAAAGTCACCATTTCTGGCACCATCATAAAAAGTAACATTTGTTGTAATAATGAATTCGTCATTTGAAGATTTTCAGCTCACGTCATTCATCTGATTCTGAACCATCTATTTATCAAATGGAGATAATGTACTTAGAATAAATCCTCTAGCGTATTTGTAAACTCTGCCAGATAGTATGCTGGGATGGTGAAGGATTAGTAAATTCAGCAAATACTATAGGACCCTTTTCATAATATGCTATGATCTCCAGTTTTGGCTTTTATATACACAGGATTAAAACCAACCTCATGACAACAACCTGATCAACTAAAAATGATATATAATACACACATTTATTGGATGCTCTTCACATTGACATTTCTCAAAGACTTTTGATCTTTTTTTGAAGCCCCTTGAGTAAATGTTAGATGGTCTACGTGCTGGATATGGGATGTGCCTAATTTGCTCTTATGTAACCCGTACAGTTTCCCTGCATTGACTAGCATTCCAAAGAAATGTCAGGATGAAATTTATGAAAGGTCAATGTGACAGTTATTTCTATCCGCTCTTGAATGTCGATTGACTCAATTGAAAAGTGGGAAGGCAAATTATTTTCAGTTAATAAGGTGAATTATTACCATCTGTACAAAATTCTTAATTCTCCATTTTTAATTGTTTGCTTGCAGAGAAATCCAAGGAATGCAACGTGGAAGACACTGTCGTGATTTCCATCAGTGAGGGTTTGGATGCGTGCCGTAGATCATCATAAGTTGTAATGTACACTTTGTCAAGGAAGGAATAAAGGGAGCATTTGCGACATTGTTACTTGTTTCTGTCTGGTTCATTCAGAAGTCTTCCAATTTGGAAAAGGCAATTGGCTGTTTGAAAATCTCTTTTCTTTCTGTTTAGTACAGGCTCATCAATTAGTTTGAAGACTGCAGAAGCAATTGTTTAATTCAGAACCTGTGAGATCGAAAAATCCCAGCAGCTTTACAGTCTTGGGCTTGATGTTGAGAATGTAACTTGAGAAGATCGTTGGGACAGGGACCCCCAGGTAAGACCAAAGGCACAGCCTTTATCATAGCCATCCTAAGCCACAAGTATGGAAGTATCTAATCAAAGATCTAATCATGTTGAGTGCGATGTGATGTGAAGGATAGCTTTACCAAAGGGAGTTATACCAATGGAAATGTCTCTCATCCATAAGGTGGAAGACTAAACACATTATTCTGGATCGGCAAACTGTGAAATGGAAGAAATCACCTGTGAATTTGGATGACTTAAGAACGATTTTCAACTTAATAACAGCTGAGAATTTCTACTTTAGTGGTTCTTTGTGAGTCAACTTCAGTGGCCTCCCACATCCATGGTTGGCATGGAGCAATCAAGAAACCAACCCACAAAACACTGGAGACTAAAATACTCGAAGTATTTAGATACTGGCTTTCAGATGTCAGAACCTTGAGATCAGGCAATGTAGCAAAGCAGCGACATTGTAGCAATGTCTCTGGGTTAGGATTCCAGAGTTCCAGATATAGTTCTAGGAACATGAATTCAAATCCCACGGCAATAGCAAAATTCAAATTTGATTAAAAATCTGGATTTGAAAGCTGGTCTAATGGAGACCATGTAATCATGGCCCATTGTCACAAACATCCATTTGATTCACTAATGTACTTTAGGAACAGAAATTTGCTGTCCTTGACTGACCTTTGTGTGACTCCAGTCCTACAGCAACGTGGTTGACCCTTAACTTCCCTTTGGAATTTCCACCCTAATAGGGTCATGGAGTAATAGAGCATGGAAATGGTATTGTGGGTCTGCCTACAGCACTTGGACTGCAGCGGTTCAAGAAGGCAGCTCACTACCACCTACCTTCTCAGGGGAAACTAGAGACAGGCAATAAATGCTGGCCCAGATGGTGTAGCACTCCATCAGTATTGCTTTCTGAACTGCAACTCTGTAATTGAGCTTGGACCCATAATCCTCTGAATTAAAATCAAGCACCCTGCCAACTAAGTCAACTTGTGCAGAATTGAAAGGAGATGGCTAATCTATTGTCTCAATTTTTATGACAGATTTACCAACCTTATTTGATAAAAATCAATGTTTCTATTTTTTTAAGAAATGTGTTTATAACTTGCCTAGAAATCCTGGTAAAGGAATATTCACAAATATGTTTCGATGTCACTGAGACCGGAGGAATTTTCTATTACTCATACTGATACTCTGAGTTTCATTTCTATCACATGATTTGTAGTATCCTGAATTGTTTCGATGGAAAACTTTGGGACATTTTACTGGTAAAACCCGTAACTGATGATTCATTATTCTGGCTAAAAAGAAGAAAAGTAGTTTAATTTCCGTATTTCTCATAACATGAGGAAGTGACTTTTTATCCAGCTACGCATCTTCACACCAAGTTAGGACAGTTATGACCAGGTAAGGTTGAGAAAATTCTTTCTTTTCAACTTTCTCTTGATTGGTTGCAACAAATGTATTATTTCTTTTTAGCACGCAGCTATCAAACTTCAATTAAAACCTCATATTACTCAAAATTAAGGAGATAGTTACCGGGTTTTCTTGAGTTGAAGGAAAAGGAATTTGTTATTACTAACCCCGAGAAAAATATAAAACACAACATCAAGTACAAACACAGGCCTGAATCTTAAAGGGGAGTGTGTCTGGAATAAACAAGAAGAATAAAGGTGAGGCAATTTAAAAGTACTTTGAATCCTTGAAGTGTTACATTTTAAACTGAGACTGCAGTTGTGAAATGACTTGTATCCTCATCAGTAGCAAAATCCGTGGACATCTTAGTGTACAGTTTTTTTTTTCTTCCCTAATTTACTTTCTCATGGTGAGAAATGAAGATAAAATGAAGAGAGAAACAGGAAAAGAGTGAGAGGGAGGCCTTGAGTATAAGCTGTTACCAAGCCATATTCCTTTCTTTCTGTCCTGTTGCTCAAAAGCAATTGCTGAAATAGAACTGATTTATGTATTCCTGAGTCTGGTCCCACAGCCTCTCCAACCTGGATACTCTGCAGGCAACCGTCCATGTCCAATATGTACCAATTATACAGGCAAACTGAAACAGACAATGTCAATTTCTTGATGTCTGACTCAGTGACTGTTTTTAATGTCTTTAGATAAAATGGTGATTTCAGTTCAGACAGTTTTGTTCATTCCACATTGGATTCTTGACCTTATCAATAGGAAACTGATAGGTTACACAGGTAATGGACAGAGTCGGTGTGTCAAGAGGGAAAGCTCAAAATTTGTAAACTCTTGCAATGTGAGAAAAGGTCACTGCTGCTAGACCAGCTTTGTTCTTCCACTGGGTGACCTGCAGCTATTGGTGAGTTGGCTATAGTGGTGGATTTTTAGAAATGCAACAGAATGCATCTCCCTTCCATTCCACCATCTCAAGTCTACCACCTCCTTACCACAGCCGTGTTTCAGTAACTCCTTAATTGGCCCATAGCTAACCACCACTTGTGAGCAAGTAGTCATTTCATCCATGACCCAGCCTCCTTGAAAATAGCCAGGACACGGAGATATGTTGAATAAAAAGCAAATGAGTGTGTTAGGAAATTCTAGTCATGTCTGTCTCCTGTTCTGCCAATTAAATATTCAGCTTGGAGTGTCAACTGAGGTGTTTAAAAGGAAGGCATATTCCTACTTGTATAATGATATTAGAATATGTGGAGAAAAGGTCAAGCTTTGAAATTGAAAAGGCAACACTAACAAGATAACAGTGCAGTCACAATCGCTTACTCTGTTTCCTTCAACCTGTTAATGAATTGTTCAATCCAGGAGACCATAGGAGTTAAGTAGTGAGTGTATCCCAAACTGACACTTGCTGATTTCTGCAGCTGCAAACTGAATAAAGCTTCTGAGAAATCAGAAAGTCTAATTCTATCCATTCAAGTCGATACATCAGAAAGGTTCGGGAAAGGCTGGATTAACATAGTACAGTTAATGTTACAGAAAATAAAATATTCCATCGTTACTTCATATAAACCAACTTTACACAAAGACTGAATATTGAACTCATTCCAGGGTAGATTATTAAGGACAAAATAAAACCCTAATCAATTAGAAAATTGTTGGATTTTGTGTTAGAGGGAAGGCTTTAGGATGGACAAGTCTGGATGAATCAATTGACCTCTCTTAATGGTATCTACCTTGCAGTTATTGTATTCATTTTGGAGAGACCATGGAAATCAACACATTATCTGGAACAGCCCTGATTGGCCTCATTACGTTTAATTGGGAAAGCAAACTTTTTCCTTAAGCACAAAATCTAAGTTGATTATGCAATCATTTTAAGATGTCCTATGTATGAAAAGATATGATAAAATTGTTAATAGGTAAAGAAGAACGGCAATATGATCAACACACTCGACAACAGTCGATTAGTTTCACAAATTCATCAACAAGCATAGAAAGAAGCCATTAGTTCAGCATTCATGAGCTAGATCTTTGAAAGAGTTACCTAATTAAACCCATTGCCTTGCTCTTTCATAGTATCAGTACTTGTCAAACCTAACACCAACAGAAAGTTAAAGCTAAATTAGAAATTGTTGGAGAAACTCAGCAGGTCTGGCAGCATCTGTGCAGAGAAAGCAGTGTCAATGTCTCAGGTCCAGTGACCCTTCTTAGAACTGATTGTAAATTTCTTTATATATATTGAAGACTTGAGGATGTTAGATATGCAGTGGTTGGAGATACAATCCAGAGGGGAAGCAGACAAAGGGATGGATAACAGTGAGCCAAAGAGAAAGAATAGCTGATAATCGTGACTGTTACTGGTAAAAGTGGGTTGACTGTGCTGAAAGCAGCCCATGTGATAATAGAGCCTGTGGTGTGGAGGTGAGTAAAGGACACGGAAAAAGGTGCTGAGGCTCTAATATTATTGAACTCAATATTGAATTCTGAAAGCTGAACGGTCCCCAAGTGGAAAATGTGGTGTTGTTCTTCCAGCTTGTGCTGAGCTTTGCTGGAACACTGCAGCAAGCCTGAGACAGAGCAGTGCAAGATGGCAGCATTGTAACAGGGCTGCGTTCAGGCTCTTGCCCAGAGCCCATCAGCTTGCTTTCTTTGTTTTATTTTTGCTTCTTCTCTTTTCTTTCACCTTATTTTCATTTCCTTTTGATTTTTTTCCTTCTTTTCTGCGGCAGGTTGGTCGGCAGCAGTGGCATGGCAGTAAGAACGAACTGCATGCACTGTTGGTGTTAGGTTTAACAAGTACTGATACTATGAAAGAGCAAGGCAATGGGTTTAATTAGGTAACTCTTTCAAAGATCTAGCTCATGAATCCTGAGCTAATGGCTTCTTTCTATGCTTGTTGATGAATTTGTGAAACTAATCGACTGTTGTCGAGTGTGTTGATAGGGACGTGAATGTGTTCTCTCGCCGTTCGGAGCGGCTGATATTGGCAGTGGTGGGGGATGGTAATAGACTCTCCATGATGGCAGCGCCAGTAAGGTGACATCTGTAGCCGAAGCGAGACTCCTGACCCGGTAACAGTGCCAGGGGCTCTTGGTTGTGAGTGAGGATTCAGCGGTATCAGCGAAGTAGGCCCTGCAGTGAAGAGATGGCACCTAAAGTGGGGCAACTTCTACATTGGTGGATACAGTGCAGGCAATGGCGAGGTAGTGGGGGTCTCCATTGAGGCTAGGTGCCAGTGTGGACTGGGTCAGACTGATATTCTGAACTTCTTAACTTCTTTTTCCTAATTTATTCCTATGACCTATAATACTGGACTATTTATTTCTGTACTTCTCTAAATTTTTTTGTTTCCTAAGAGTTTGATCTTA